AGACTGAAGCTACTTCAACCTAATAAGTCCAGTTACCATGACTCAACTTCTAAACCTCGCCTGGATGACTGAGAATCTTCACGCTTCTAAACCTCGCCTGGATGACTGATTGTTAAGTAGGAATGTGCACTATCATCAAAAGTCAGATTCCAAATTTGGAATTACAGCCCTTTGGATTTGGAATTCAGAATTTTAAAAATTCAGAGTTTCTAGATATTCAGAACTCCATTACAGTCAGCATGAATACTATATAAAAAGTTTTTCCCTTTCGAAAGAAAGAAAGAAAGAAGACAGGCAAAACACTTTAAAATAATTTCCCTGTGATTGTGCCAGAAAAAAAGAGTGCACAACAGCTAGCAGTGCTTAGATACTAGGAAATAACCATCATGGCCATATTGGTTGAGCTCTGAACAGTTGGAATGCCAGCAGGAAATGACAGCAGCATTGGGAAAGCAGAGTACAGGCTGTACTGGGGAGTGGGCAAATACCTTGGGCAGTACTAGCAGGTAGAGTAGGACAGCAGGTAACCAGTACTGTGTAGGAGCTGTGTCCACAGCATGGGGCCCAGCATAGATGAGTGAGAGAGCACAATCTTGGAGTAGTAATTGGAAGAGTGAAACAGGCAAAAAGAGAGGGCAGCAGACTGAAAGCATTGCATAGGTAGTACTGTGAGCAGTGTCCATTCTCTTTTACTTAAAGGGGGCTTAAGGGAAGCCCAGTAATGCTAGTTTGACCTTAAAGAAAATGTTTTTCTACAGATCCAGATTCCAGGCACGAACGATATGGACTGACAGTGTCCCCTGCCAGAGAGGACACTCTCCCTGGACACACTAGTCGGTGGATGAAACAGGAGTCCCACTGCCACCTTGGCCATAATGCCCTAAACAAACTCCTTCTCAGCCCACTAAAGCAAGGAATTGGTTGCTTTTGGCTTGCAGAGCTCCTTCATGTGTACCTGTGCCTCTGCCCTGTCCTTCCTCTGGGGTGGTGTGTTTGGAGGACAGGCCTCTGTTGTGCTTGTCACAATACTGTCTCAGGAAGCTTGCCTAGTTGTTGCAGGAGTGAGGGACTTGGAGTCCAGATTACAAATGCTGATACTGCTGTTTGGAGTACCATGAACATTGTTAGTTTCTTCCTGCTTTGTGGGACACCCCCCCCCCAAGTGCTAACCAGACTCTGGTTTCTCTTCATATCTTATAAATATTTTGCCTTTTAACTACCTGCTGCTGCATGTGATGGATAGCTGGCTGGCATTGCCCCTTCTTGCTGCTACTATCTGTTGCCTACTGTTTAATTTGTGGGTCCACTTAACCCTCAATGCCCTGCTGTTCTCTATCCAGAAAAGCAACCACACGGTGATTGGGAAACACTGCTCTATTGGCACGGCTATAACATATTCTGCATAAACAGGTCATATTTGCACATCATCTTGCATTGTAATGAATACTTATTTTGCAGTTTTGGGAAAACCAAATGGTGGTGAGTTCTTGCAGATGCAGTCTAAGTATACCTTGCAGACTTCTGGTTAATAATAGGGTTCCAATTTTCAATTTGCTTCATTTTAATTAAGGGACCAAAGTATAGTCATATTGCTTTGTTGGCATACCTCCAAATGCCTGGTATGATTATTTCAGTTTCTCTTGTACCCGCACCCCACCCCCAGTATGTGGTGCCTACACATAATGATCTTATAATCTGATACTCAGAGTTGAGAAAGAAAATAAGGAAGCTATTTGAAAAACTAGTTTAGTACAATGAATTCCTTCAACCCAAGGGAAAGCAAAGAACATGGTGGAATATGATGCAGGATAAGGGATTCACCTAAAGCCAGTAGCTTCTCTTGCAGTCATCCATATTTTTTAAATATCTGATCCACTATATCATTTGATGATGATGATGATGATGAT